GCTAAGGAGGATCCACGGCGGACTCTGCTGGAGAAAGGTGGTACTTCTCCAGCTCCCAACAAAATCTTTATTTAACTCGCAAAGTGATGCGGCTTGGTCAGCCACTCCTGGGAAGGTTATATGTTTTTCCATGTGTAGCTGACAGCACTTTCTATGGTTTTCCAGCAATCCAGCTCCTTTATCTAATATCACAATTTCTTTGATCACTTTAAAACAGAAAAAATAGCTATAATTTTCACCAAATATTATAACAGCACCATACTGCAGCAAAGAGAAGTTAGGTTGTTTCAATGCAAAGCAAATATATGGGATGTTGATATGTTTACAACAAATGTGAATCCAAATTATAAAGACTTTTTTTTTTATGTGTGTAAGCGCTAATGTAGAAATGTACTATGCATGCTCGGGCAGCTCAGTGAGTTCAACATATATTCAGTAAGGTATGGAGATCTAGATAAGAGTTTTTATCTATGACACAGGAACTAGAAGATCACATCCTGTCATCAGTTAATGAGATGATATCATCGTTCCTGATTCTGTTTAACTGTGCATGCTTCATTTGGCTAGTTTGGTCACCAATGCAATGCTAGAACATGTAACCTATAGAATAAACCATTTATTTGAATTTTAGGAAACAAAAACAAAAAACTGAAATCTGTAAAAAATTCTGCAAACTACTTTGCAAAAAGTTTTACTCTGGTGATTATTTTTGATCTCCCACAGTGTGCTATGTCACTCAAAACTATCATTGATTGTTGAACCAAAAGATTAAAAAAAAAAAAAAAAAAAACTACAGAATGACAATGTCTTTGGTGAATGTTATGATCAAACAAGCTCTTAGCTTTGGCTTGAGAAGAAGAGATGCTCTCCACCATCAAAATGATCCAAGTGGCTTCCTGTTTAAAAGGACATCTTTCGCAATGGTTGTGGACACGTAAAACACTGCAACAACAATTTCTTCTGATTATAATTCTTTACCAGGAGATTTTAAAGTGTTAAGTTAAATTGGGTGAAGTGTGGACCAATCAGGCCTAGGTTGATTAAACACAACAGGGTTTGACCCGGAAAACTTAGTTTGTTTGTCTTTTTGAGCCATAAATGGGTTTATGTCACAAAAGTCTAAAGTTAAAGTGAACAGAATGTGGGTTGAAAAGAATGAACCATCATCTATATTACTAAACAATATTTGGGTTAAATAAATAATTTCTGATAATATAAAAATGTGATTATAGAAAGCAGTATTTGACCATTTTCTTAAATTCCTGAAGTCTGATTACTTCACTTGTAACTGAAAATGGTTTTCTAAAAACAGTGTTGCCATTCTTTCTACATATTTTTCTAACTCTGCAAACTGGGTCACAAATTGGGCCACAATATTGATTAAATTAAAATTACCCAATCTCTTATCCAATCACCTAGTATTTGGAAAACACAGTTGAATTTATTTCAAGCATCTTTTTGATCGAAAGCAGATTAAGGTTTAATCACAGCTAGAATGGAGTCATTCTAATTTTGGGTAAAGTTTTTTTTTGGTCATCAAAATAGAGAGTTTTCTAGGTGTGCATTTAAGGACAAGTTAACAATATCCAGATTTCCTTTTGTTGCTTTAAGAATTTTTAATGAACTTGCTCATCATGCAAAATCTAAACCCTTTATAAAGAACATCCATCCATCCATCCATCCATCCATCCATCCATCCATCCATCCATCCATCCATCCATCCATCCATCCATCCATCCATCCATCCATTCATCCATTTTGCTTATCCCTGCTGGGGTTGTGAGGGGTGCAAGTGCCTATCTCCAGCTGTCAATGGGCGAGAGGCGGGGTACACCCTGGAAAGCTCGCCAATCTACAGCAGGGCAAACAGGACAACCAAAGATGCACGTACATACTCACACTTAAGGAGAATTTAGAGAAGCCAATTAGCCTAACAGTTATGTTTTTGGACTGTGGAAAGAAGCCGGGGTACCGAGAGAAAACACAGGGAGAACATGCAAACTCCATGCAAAAAGACCCTGGGTCGGGAATCAAACCCGGAAACTTATTGCTGCAAGACAGTGTGGCAGCGCTACCCACTGTTCCGCTGTGCAGCCCCTATAGAAGGTGCAGTCAATTCAATTAATTCAGTTACTTTTAAAAAAGCAATTTACAACATGTGTCTTTACAAGTTAATACAATCATTATACAGACATATTAGTTAAACGTTTTGTATCTAAGGAAACCCCCAGATTGCACCAACTTTATGACTTGCAGAATTTAGTTCTAGATTAGCATGTAGAGATAGTGGACAGACAGTTACTTTGTGTTTTTATTTATTTGTTTATTTGATAGGGACAAGTATGTTTCATGAATCCTGTCACACACTACAACATTTTAGCTAAGGCTAATTCTCAATGGCTGTCCCCAGTTAGGCTTTTATACAAAACACAGTGACTGTACACAAGGCACAACAGAACAAATTACACACTAAAGTCCCCTCTTAAAATCCGTTGGTTTTTCTCGTTATCGTATGCAGACCAGTTAGTTATACATCAGCCTATACACCTAAATTTGGCCAATCATATATCAATGGTCATCTGTCCATCAATTTTTTTTTTGGTCAGAGAATCTTAATTCATGTGTCGCAGCTAATATAAGCAATAGTTGAAATAAGAAATAAGAATCATTTACTTTACCATTGAATTGCATCCCAGTGTTCACGGGGATGGACGTCTGTGACTTCGGCAGACGTAGAGCTAACAGAACTGGCAGCATTGCGAGGCAAGGGTTAAAACAAGTACGGCTGTAAGCCTTCTACACGAAACCAAGCTTCTGCCGCCCTGGTTACCTTTTCCACAACAATTCGTTCCTGCTTTGCTCCTCTAAATAAAAAATGTATGACGGAGGAGACTCATCCACGCCTCCGACACAAAACTCTCCTCCTTTGCATGTTTCCGCTGTCCATATCGCTCATTGACAGTGTTGTTTCAAAGTCACCAATATAGCGCTACTTGGTCCCAATGTAATT